TGTGTGTGTGTGTGTGTGTGTGTGTGTGTGTGTGTGTGTGTGTGTGTTTGGTTTCAGGGGACGAGGTGTCGGCACATTATGACCCAATGATCGCTAAGCTCGTGGTTTGGGGAGAAGACCGATCTGCTGCCTTGAAGAAGCTGCGGTACTGCTTACGACAGTACAACGTAAGACTCACACAGTCAAGTGGTGCTTTGCATGTCATGTGACTAAACAAATACAGTATTTACTGAACGTAAAGCCTCAAGGTGTAGCATTTACAAAGAATGGCCATAGATAACTTTCTTTGCGTCCTCTCCGTCCTCAGATCGTCGGACTGAACACTAACATTGACTTTCTGCTGAGTCTTTCGGGCCACCCGGAGTTTGAGGCTGGAAACGTGACCACCAGTTTCATCCCGCAGCACTACGCAGACCTGTTCCCCACTCCGGTAACTCCTTCTGGGGAAACCATCTGCCAGGCCGCCCTGGGCCTGGTGCTGCAAGAGAGGAAACGCACGCAGGAGTTCACACACACCTCCACTGGTGAGGGGAAATATTTCCCTTATTGCACATTTGATATGAAACAGTAATATACTAAGTGTATATGGTGCGTGTGATTTTCAGATCCCTTCTCCCCATTCGGCTCCGGTAGCGGCTGGAGAAACAACGTTAAGTTTAACAGAAACATGACGCTGCAGCTGAGAGACCAAAGTAAGTAACAGACATGGGGTGAGCTTTGAGTGTACTACGGTGTAGGATGAATAAAGGAGCAAGAAAAGGCAAATATAGAATTTTGATCAAAGGTGATGCACTGCAGAGAAGCATCTGTGTTTAACTTGCTCTTGCAACACATTTAAATGTCTTGTTTGCTGCCCTCCTCCTGTTCAGGACATTTCTTCTTGTGTGTTTGTTGTCTTTAGAAGTTGATGTGGTCGTTGTGTACAACAAAGATTGCAGATACTCAATGCAGGTAAGCTGGAGTTTGTCCTGTGTTTTAAAATGTTTTGTCTTTATCGTTATTGTGTGATTGTGTTTGTTTCTATATTCAAATGTTCACCCATTCTCTATGCTTAAAATAAACACCAATGAATTTCCATTCACTTGACCATGACGTTAAGGTCAAGAATTAATGAAGACTTTAAAGTCTGCCTCCTTCATATTTATAAATAAATGCATAATTTCTCCTTCCAGATTGGCGAGGAGGTGTACGATGTGACTGGAGAGCTGGAGACGGAAGGCGGAGCTTCATTCCTTCACTGTTCTGTCAACGGCGTGAAGTCTCGTCCCAAACTGGTGATCCTGGACAACACAGTGCACCTGTTCTCCATGGTGTGTTCCTACCACTCATCCATCTATCTATATGTGTATATATATCTATATAGTTGCATTGGGGTTTATGTTTATTTCAAGTAACAAGAAACAGAAATATGTGATTTGTAAATAGTGAAACATTTGGAGCTGTTTTTGATTCAAGTTATTAAAATGTAATTATTAAAATCTAAATTACAGTATTTCCTTTATAGGTGCAAACAGTTATTTTCATCTTGATTATTCTGCTGATTATTTTCTTAATTAATTGGTTTGTTGTTTGGTCCATGGGGGAAATAGTGAAAATGATCGTCACTTTGTATACTTGATAATTATGTACTGCTTAACAATACATCACAGTTATTGAGTTGATTTATATTTTGTATTGTTAATCTGAATCTGCAAAGTAGCTAAAAACTACTATTGTCAAATAAATATAGTAGAGTAGAAGTATGATGTTAAAATCTGTTGCCCTAAACTCAAATACTTATAGTTCTTCATTCCTCATATTCTGTATTAAATGGCAGAAATTCAGCAATTTTTAATCTCTGTAATGTGTGTTTATTAGTTAGCTTCTCTTGTTTATAGTTGATTTCATGCAAGTTCATTCTCAGTCAATGTAACAGAAACTGCCCTTCACCTGCTGCTGTGGCACAGGTCTGTTTCTCGTCTGACATCTTTCCAACTTGTTTCTGCAGGAGGGGAGCTCCCAGGTGTCTGTTCCAGTGCCCAAGTATCTGGCTGGTGTGAGCAGTTCTGGGGCTCAAGGTGGAGCAGTGGCCCCCATGACGGGGACCATAGAGAAGGTGGGTTTGGTTGTTTTAACATATGAGATTATAAAATTATAATTTTTCGTCAAGCAAAGAAATCTGTTTATTTGTCTGCAGGCCAAACTAGCTGTTGCAAATGTCTTTCTAGAGATTTATGTCATCATATTAAATAATGTGTTGTAAATATATTTTGTATGATCCTTTTATTACAACATACAACAGGTAGGCGTGCTGAGACAAAAGTTCAACAAGATTGAACTGGTCCAGCAGAAAGCTGTTAGAAATAACAGCTTTTTTTAATTCAATTCACAAGTGTCGTCTGTTCAGACAAATAAAGGAGCTGTTGCGTTGTGTTCAGGTGATGGTGAAGGCCGGAGACACGGTGGCTGTAGGAGACCCTCTGATGGTCATGAATGCCATGAAGATGGAGGTGAGGGACTCTCCTGCTGGCTCTGCCTCACACACACATTCTCACCTTTTCCCTTCACAGGTGCGCACATTCTCTGCTGCGTTTGTAATGAAGTCGTTTGTGTTTTTTTGTCTGTGCAGCATACGATCCGGGCGCCCAAGTCAGGTGTGATTAAGAGGGTTTTCTTCACCGAGGGCTCTCAGGCTAATCGCCACGCCCCTCTGATCGAGCTGGAAGAGGAGGAGGAGGAGGAGGAGGAGGGGGGCAGCCAGTAAACAGACTCAAACACACAACCACACCCGTGAATACACACTGACGGGCAGGAGACGGAGCTAGTTACTGTGTACAGTTGCCTTTCACGCATCAGAAATGTACACTTCTTTCTTGTGAGTTTATATGTTTGAATCAGTGAATGTCTGGAAACATCTGTTGGCATTTTTTTTTGTTCTAAGCCCCCCCCTCTCCTCTGTGTTTCTGTTAGTGTAAGAGCTGGTTTGGGTATTCTATTGTTCAGTACAGCTTAATGCACTTCCTTACTGATGAGGTCCTCTCTACGCACACACTGTGTACCTCCTAATCTTTACATCGTGACTAAACTAAAACCTTATTTGTAAGCAAAAGATAATAAGTAGGTGGAATCAGTACTTGAAGAATTATGCCACAGTTGACTATTGGAATAGTAACTGAATACTGATTTAAATTACCTTAAAATATTTACAATATACCGAGTGAATACTTTCAACATGTAATGCTTAATAACAGGTTGGTCTAGCAGAACCATGTATCTCAAATTGTGTCATTTTGTTATGTTCACATGCTGCTTTTATAAGTGTGGAAATCTATTCTACCACTTCTGTTTCCTAGTCATCAACAAATGACACGGTTTTCACTGGAAACTGATTTTAGCAAGAAAGAAGCTGAATGTAAATTAATCTCTGGTGCAAGTACATATTATGGGTTGTTGATGTCTAGTTCTTCAACATCCACACATTCTGTCCTTTCTGACTCCAAAGTCTTCATCATTCAGCCTTGATTATCACTCTTTTTACTAACTGGTGTGTTATGAGACCTTGTAGACTAAAACTGATAAACACCTGTGTTCAATTTGTAGATGTGTGACAGATGATTTAAAAAAAAAAAAAAAAAAAAAGTATTGGACCGGTCGGATACTGTAATAAAAATTGTTTAAAGTATGCACAGTGCCATGTGGTTGTTGTAGGTTGCTTAGCGTAACGCTTTTAATAAAAAAAGTCTTATGACTAAATGACATGAAATCACTTCAGACCGAAAGCATAAAATGTGTTCTCTGCATAGATTTAAGTGTGAGGATATCTATCCTACTAAGATGTAATATACTATGACTTTTTCGTCACTTTAGACGCACTATACTATGAATTATTTCCTATTTTGTTAAACTATACTATATACTCTTTTCGATATAATATACCCTGACTTTTTTCGACATACGATACTAAAACTATTTTATGACTTTTTTGGCATACTATACTATGACTTTTTTCGCAAACTATACTGACTTTTTTATGACTTTTTCGACATACCATACTATGACTATTTTATGACTTTTTTGGCATACTATACTATGACTTTTTTGACTTTTTTGACATACTATACTATGACTTTTTTCGACATACTATACTATGACTATTTTATGACTTTTTTGGCATACTATACTATGACTTTTATGACTTTTTTTTACATACTATCCTATTGGACTTTTAGGACTTTTTTTGACACTTTTTTCGACGTACTATGACTTTTTTCAACATACTATACTATGACTATTTTATGACTTTTTTGGCATACTATACTATGACTTTTTTATGACTTTTTTCGACACTTTTTTCGACGTACTATGACTTTTTTCGACATACTATACTATGACTATTTTATGACTTTTGGCATACTATACTATGACTTTTATGACTTTTTTATGACTTTTTTTTTACATACTATCCTATCGGACTTTTATTGACACTTTTTTCGACGTACTATGACTTTTTTCGACATACTATACTATGACTATTTTATGACTTTTTTGGCATACTATACTATGACTTTTTTATGACTTTTTTTTTTACATACTATCCTATCAGACTTTTTTGACTTTTTTTGACACTTTTTTCGACGTACTGACTTTTTTCGACATACTATACTATGATTTTTTTTGACATATTAGCCTATCAGTTTTTTAGGACTTTTTTGAGATACTATGATTTTCTTTTACTTTTTTGACATATGACTATTTTAGGACTTTTTTGGCATATGACTTTTTTCAACGTACCATCCTATCTATTTTGTATGACTGTTTTACACTGATTTTATTTAACTTTTTTTTTTACATACTATCCTCTGACTTTTTTCAACATTATATACTATGATTTTTTTTCAACTATCAGTTTTTTACGAGTTTTTTTTGTCATAGTATAGTATGTCAAAAAATGTAAGAAAAAAGTCATAGTGTAGTATGTCAAAAAAGGTCTTTAAAAAAGTCACAGCATAGCATGTTGACAAAAATCATAGTATATTATGTCAAAATAAGTCAGAAAAAGGTCATAGTATAGTGTTAAAAAAATAGTATAGTATGTCAAAAGAAGCCATACTATAGTATTTCTAAAAAGTCAGAAAAAGGTCATAGTATAGTGTGTTAAAAAAATAGTATAGTATGTCAAAAGAAGCCATACTATAGTATTTCTAAAAAGTCAAAAAAAGGTCATAGTATGGTATCTACGTTTTTTTTGAAAGAGTATAGTCTATCGAAACAAGTCCGAAACAAGTCATAGTATAATATGTAAAAAAAAGTCATAGTATGGTATGTCAAAAAATATCAGAAAAGTCATAGTATACATTGTCAAAAAAAGTAACAGTACAGTATGTTGAAAAACATTTCAGAAAGAAGACTTGTATGTTAAAGAAAGTAAAGAAAAAAAGTCAAGACATTTTTGCTGACATACTACATTACATCTTTATGGCATTCTGTACTATATATATATATATATATGGAACTTTTTGTGCCACACAAAAGCATCACTTTTTTAAAGGATGTTTTTGTAAGAACATTTAAATGAACAAAATTGCACCACAGACATGTTTCTTAAAAATGTATTTATTTCGTAAATAGAACTGCATCTCCATAAGCGTCAGCTGTTAGACATGTTTATAGAAGGGAGGACAGACAGACAGCAACAGTCAACAGAAGTAGAGAATAAAATAGATTTTAACATACAGTTCAGCTCTGATCTGCAGCTTTGTGTCGTACTGGCTGATGCTTAATCTCAGGACATTCTGCCGCAGAAAACTGATCATTTGACATATAACTATAATAATAATAATAATAAGACAACTATAATTTAAGCTCCTGTTTTTAGCTTATTTGATCAAGGAAACCATATTTTGTTTTTCGGTTTAAAAACTTTATTTCCCGGAAACCTTCCTGAAATAACTTGAAAACGATGTTTGATACTTGCATTATGTATGGCAACAATGACAATAAATGAGTTAATTGAAAAGTTCAGGATCTGGTTTCTGGATGATGAAATGTTACCATTATGTATTAAGACAAATGTGACAGATTTTAATTTGGTCCTTACACATATTCAATATATGCCCAATATTTCAAGAAGCAAGAGCACTTGGAGACAGAATTTAACATCTCTAAATAAAGTATCCAAATACACTTCAATGGTGCTTTTGATGGAGGACATGATCATCATCTGTAGTTGAGGCTTGATACAATTTAAATGTACTTTTATTTTGCATTATGTGGTTTCGTAATCTACTTCTAAATACCCCGAGGCCTCGTATCCAAACCCTTCTGTCAGTGCTCGGATGCTTTATGTTAAAAACTATGTACCTGGATATACAATGCAAAAATAGAGCGTAACATTTTTTTAAATAATCCTATAGATTTTTTAACTTTTGCTCATCGTTATCAAATGTTACTTCATAGTTTGTATTGCTTTCTGTCACTAACTCTTTCAGTTAAAAATACTGTCGCTTACATTGGAAAAGGTCATTTTGAATTAACCGTCCTCACTATCATTCATTTGTATCTCTTCGGTATTAGTTTGTGTTTTATTTCTAAGTCTTGACAGAAGAGATGTTTGTATTTATGAATATGGTTATAGATGTATTAATCATTACATTTTGAACACTTTGGGCTTCCGTAGTTGAGCACAAGGGGGCATCAGAACTGCACTAACACTGCAGGTGTTTCTGCCTTTGGCCAGACAGGACTCGTCCTAGTCCTCTGTAGTTTATTGCCGATTCCAGAGAGGAGGGTTGTCCAACTTTTGTTTTTTTGGTTGAAATTAGGATAGCTCTGCCTCTGATGCATCAAATGTGACCCTTTTTTTCAGGTCTTTAAAGGGTTCTCCTGGATGTATTATACTTGTGTACAAAAATTATGGTGAAAATGAATGCAAGTGAACTGAACATATCCTGATTTTAAGTCCCTCGTGTGAGTCAATCTAAAAGACAAAAATAACATCCAAGTATGAGTAAATTGACCCTTATGTGTACAACACTTGAAGTATCCCTATAAAACAGCGTTAACATGTATTTTTTACTCATCCAGGTACAGATATCATAGGTATCCAGGTAGACATTTTTATAGCAGTATGAACACAAATGTTTAATCACAAAAAAAAAAATATCCTGTGTAAATGTGGCCTGATCATTACTTGTTGAGTTGTGAAAGGAAAGATCTAACTGGACGTTCTCCAGTGTCCTTTTTGCTAAAACATCCAGCTTATATCAGGCTCACCTTCCAGGTCAAAACAAACAGAGCCGAGATAAAGGTTCAACCTCCTGATTACATGTCTAAACTCAAGAGAAAATGTACAGCACAGGACACACGTTATAACAAGATGTAAGAAAGTTCAACACAAACAGAGAAAAAGTTCTGCAATAATAAATAGACACTTTCATTGTCAGTCGCACCTGTATGAACTTCAGCAGGCCCAGGTATGCATCAAACAATGTGTAGCATATAGAAAACAAACACGGAGGATATTCAAGGAATTGACTGACAGAACCAGTATTGACAGTAACCATAGTACAGAAACATCCTATGAACTCTGTGTGACCCCGGTGTGAGCTCAGGCATGCACTGAGTTGTGGGTATTGTTTAAAACGGTTGTCTTGAAACGTTTCGACATTACACTTCTGGAGTCAACCGAATCCTCCTACAAACAAGAACCGTCACACGTTTTCTCATTTCAACTTTTTTTTTTTTTTTTGGTCAGAGAAGTCAAACCGAGCATCACAGAGAAACATTTGATCTTTTACTGGCAGACAGCATGTGGCCACTGAGATTGCACAACAAGGATATGTACCGTCCTTCTAATCAACATGGCCGACATACAAGAAACACACAAACACACACACACACACACACACACACACACACACACATAGAAAAACATGACAGCAAAAACATGATTTGGATGATTTAAATGGTAACAGACAAGCAATGAGTTGAGAAATGACATGTGATTTTGATATGCGACTTGTGCAAACGCTCTGCTTTTCTTCTCACCTCTGTAGAAGCTGAATTATATTTATGCGATCTCTCTCTAAAGATAGAGACATTCTGCTGTCTGGGTCGACATGCATCAGCCGGGGAAAAGCATCTCGCCATTGAAGCCATGTTCTGTCTTGCTGAAATAGAAATGGTTACCGTTATCTCATCCGATGCTTCGGCCATATTTTTCGGGATGATTCCACCAATAGAACCTCTCTTAGGACAGCCTCACTCACTGATGCTGTTGCCTCAGAATATTCCCCGAGCATGATGGTCTTTAATGCCGAGATGCCTTCGCTAAACCGGCTGAAGGAGAAAAAGGCATCCAATGGGAACAAGTTTCCAGACACAAAGTAACAACAACAACAGGCTTAAACAGCTTCTTTCTGCAGTACCTTCAATAACCCATCAATAATAGAACCTCCTGAAAATGTATGGCTTTTTAAACAGGCCCCATCTGTCCTCCTTCAGAGCAGGGACACAGAGGCCCGAACAGTCGGACGAGAGAGCGGCACAAACAATGACCGTCCTCTTCATAACGATACAAGCTTCTGTACAGTCAGGCACAAAAATAAACAGTCTGGATCCTTTAGTCTTTGGTAACACCGTAGAGCTCCTTGTACAGTATCGAGGGACTACTGGAGGTCCTACGGAAATAAGTCTGGATGTTAACAGAACCAGCAAGGCTCTGAAAGCTACACGTCGTCTACCTTTTCATCCGAATGAGAAACAGAAGGTGCAGCAGGGCTCAAACAGGAAGTGTATGGAAGCAACATGATGTTGGGCTGCAAGCGACACCTCTGAGAAGTACTCGTAATGCAGCCCGACTGAGTGGAGCTTTGGACCTGGTTCTACATAGACCATCCTTGTGGCTCAGTCCTGTATTGAAGTTAGACTGTAGAACATATGCTGCCTGACTGCGGCGTTGGCAACTGTGCTAAAAAAAAATAGCTGCAGGAGAAGTTCGCGTGCTGCCTTCTTTAACTTCTAAAATGAATTCAAACGATGATGTTTACAGAGATTTTTGCGGGACTCGCAGCAGAAATGTGATAATTGTCGCTGCTCGGACGCCGACTCGATCTTCCTACAGAAGCAACTCCACAGATGTTTGCTTCGTGCCACGCTGACTTGCTCCACACTTCATGTTCACTACGAGTCCTTCTCAATCGTTCTGCTATGAACTCATTAACGCTGGAGAAGAGGAACTGGTGAAGGATAAAGAGTCCTTTGGTTTCACATGATGCATCCGTGTTGCATCCAGCTGAGAATGCAGTGACCTTAAACTAATGTAGGTTTATAAAATGGCGGCACAGTGGTGGTGGTGGTGGTGGTGGGAGGGGGGGGGGATTATGTGGAGTAGAAGCTCTCCCCCAGATCTGTGCGAGTTACAGTCAGCGGCCGTGGGAGTCAGCAGTTGGTGGCCTCGGTGGGCGACAGCGTCAGGATGCTGCAATCGTTGGAGTAGAGGTTCTCCATGTCGCTCCACGACCTGAAAACAGGCAGCAGGGACTGAGAATTAGGTGACCGACGGAGTGTGTGTGTGTGTGTGTGTGTTGTCCAGAGGTTTGCGATTTGAATCTACAGAACCAGGCTGGAAGAAGCAGAGAGGAGCGAGGGATGGAAGAGTGAAGAGTTAGTAAAGGGTGTGAAGTTGTTAGTGATGAGCATCCAAAGTTTCACCTCATTAACTCACACTAATCCAAGTCTATCAGGGTAGAGAATACTATTTAAAGAAAGTATGTTTTTGAGTCAGCAATTGACATGTCAGTGCTCTATAAAAATAAACAAGGTCACCAATTACTGGACTAAGACCGTACATTTTTACACTTTAAAACTTCATCCTTACAGTGCTTTTAAATGCAAATGATGCAAAGGTTATAAAGGCTGAGACAGTCTCAAGATTTAGAGTTCATATGTTCAGAGACCGCTGACTAGCCCTAAGCTACTATATGTCTCCAACACTGTAAACATATTGGTAAAAGTTCTTGCTGCGGCTGCTTCTTAACACACAAATTAAAGCTCTTTGTATCGTACGCGTTTAAACCCGGCTTTGTTTTCTGAACCTGTCTCTGGTTTGTTCTTAGAGGAGTTGAGGTGAAACTTGAGCTACTCGACTATATATAAAACAATCACCATGAAGAGAAATAAATCATGACAAACAAGCATCAACAACATTCTTCTCTCATATATCCACTCCCGAGAGAAACAGGACTAGTATCTGATTCTCTGCTGGTAAAATATACTTCCCTAAGTTCAGTTAAGATATCTAGAAAAATACTATCTTCCTCAATATTAAACATATTTGCTTATTAGTTATTTAGAGACACGACAGAGCCACGGCCCCTTTCTGTTATTAGCTTAACAAGCTGGATCTCCGTTGGAAATGTCTCACAAAGACACAACTAGTGCACAATCTCATCCGTTCCTAGACCACTCAAAACATTCTCCAACTAAACTGCCAGTGACAGCACGTAACGGTCACAACCAGCCAACCACCAGCATGCCGACTCACATCAAAGTAGAACCGAAACCAATGATCAGAGCTTCTATGTTAAGAGCACCAGCAGAGAGACCTGTTCAAAAAGAGCCTCCATTCTGGCTGCTACACCTGATCCTCACATGCCTGTACGAGTCGAGCCTGAACAGCTGAACAGTGTTTTGTAGCTGAATGTGACAAGAGGAAGGCTGCACCCTCTCCATCAGCATCGTCACATACGTTGTGATTTCTAAATGTCAGCTGAAGAATTCACGTGACCTTTAATTTACCGCTGCTCTCAGAGACGAAGACAACCGTTTTAAGACACGATGACTCAAACGGTGGTTTGACTGGAGGCACACTCACATGCTACATCAGCAGCTCGGCTGTTTACCAGGGCCGGGGTCAAACTGAAACATCTAAGTGTTTAAAACTATTTTTTTTTTTTTTTGCTCCCCGGATTACGGCATAACAAAGAGGACGTTAACACTTCTGGATGAGCCGGTGGGAACAGGAACCCAAGAAAAGAACAGAACAGGCAGTTTTCTGACGAAGCTCGCTGTTAACAGCACATGAATAATTCATTTTGGAAGTTTGCACAACGTGATGCAGATTTCAGACACAGAAGGACACAGAAACAAAGTGCAAGAGGAGGAGTGTGAGAGAGGGCACAAACACATACAAGTTTACATTGTACACAAAGTACCAAAGGCAACAGCAGCCCCCATGCAACAAGACAGTTTGGGAATTCTTGTTCTGTAGCCCGAAGTGGACGAGATAGGTGGAGTTATGTCTTGAAATTTAGGTAAACTCCACCCCTCTGGAACACCCCTGGTTAGAAAACGAGCACGCCCCAAAGTTGGCCTCTTCTCAGAAGCCCATATAAGGCTTCAGGATCCAGTAGAAAAGACTAACAGATACACAGTAAGTAGCAAAAACAAAAAGACTGAGACTACATTTCCCAGCAGCCTCTCTGGTTTAGGGTCCCCCTTGTTCTTGGAGAAGAGGAGCAAGGGAGGTCAGACAGCAGCTGAGTTTCTACCCAAGGATTGGTTTTTCTAATTATAAAGCATTAAGTTAGAGAAGAGGAACAGATTTTGCAACACTTATTTGAGTGTCCGAGGTTCAATGAACTGCTTTTAAAACAGACTTGAAGAGTTTGTTAACTAAATAATCCTGTAGGATAATTCAACAGCTCAGTGGTTTTGTACACTTTGCCGTCTAATTATATCCAAATACTACCAAGTGCTTTTCTTTACTTTCAACTATCTGAAGGTCAGTGAAAAATCTGTTTGACATTTGGATGGAGACGCAGCTGCCGGAATTTGACAACTTCACACGCTTACGTATCTCGTCTTTCTGACTCCTGACACACGTGTGAGTACGATGCGGCTTTTCTTGCCCCGAGCCAAAATTCAGCTGTGGTCAGCATTCAGCAGCCAGCTACAGTTGGGCTTCCAATATATAACAGTTAAATACATTATGTGTTATATAAGCTTGTAAATACACTTAAATATGTCCCATCCAGTGATTAATTATGTGATAGAGGACTGAGTGAATACATTCCCTTTCCCCGATGGCAGTATCCTAGCATTAAGGCCTAGTGTGGGCGGAGTCTTTCATTGATTCTTTGTGGTTTTATGCTTTATTTCCTCAAACCCAGAAGGTAAAGAAGAATGGATGTGAAAAGCAAAGGAGGGGTGAGAAGGGGACGAGGGAGAAGGAAAGGAGAGTTGATAGTAAGGGAAGGAGGAACAAAGAATACAATTCAAACCTTTAAATTCAGCCCCAATTATATTTGTTGATTGCGTCACTTTCTAAAGTTACAGTAAAAAACACCCAAGCAAAGCATTTTACTGCTGTTCATCGTTTATCCTTCTGGGAGTACAAACTGCTCTCAGCTCAGTTGGAACAGATTCAATTGGCTGCTTCGTGCCAAGGTCAGAAAACAGATCAATCATTCCAACAGGAAGAAATTAATCCAGATTGAATCATGCATCTAGTGTCAATTTGACCCTGGAGCGAACAGACTAGTTTGCTTTCTTTCAGTGACGTGACCCTGAAATAGATCATTTCATGGAGCATACCCCACTCCCCTCCGTCTAATGACTAATGAAGGGAACACATATTCAAATGTAGGAGCAACTGGGAGCATCCCTTATTTGACCTGCATGCTGTCATTATTACCTTTACAACCACACAGTCTCGAGTGAACACACATCTGCGCAAGACCCACTGCACACACAAAGACCAAGAATGCTGCATCTTCATTATTGATGTAATCAATACTGAGAGTCCCAAGCTGTTTTGGGGAGTGTTGATCACTCAGCAGAAAGGCCCGATCGGGTCAATTAATCGACGACGCCACTGAGTCACTGGGAGTCAGGCAAAAAAGACACAATAATACGGAAACTGCAGATTGGGCAGCCCAGAAAACTGTGAACTCAGTCCACTCGTCTTTAAAACTGCAGTAGGCAGACCCCTGTTTTTTTTTATCCTTTATCACAAGGTGGAGCTGTGTTTTATCTGCACTTATTGAGAGCTCACTTTGTGCAATAAAGTGACACCATGTGTAATAAATCTCACCCCGTCTCTTCAGTCTTTGGTTAATACTAGAGACGTACACGCCCACATTTGGTGCTCTGATCGTATGCCGCTCAACTAGCCGTGATGTGGCCTTACCTCAAGTGGAGCAGACCTCCAATAAACAACAAGACCTACGGGACAATCTGGGGATCAACCTAAAGCCAACGAGTCAACATGATGAATCGACATCGGTGTCGTCTGTTAAAGTGCATTACAGAGCAGGCAGTGCTCCTTGAAAACTGGCTAATTAGGACATCAAATAGATTTTAGGAAGTATCAAATAGAAAAAGAGGAGACAGACAGAACAACAGATCATAGCATAGACGACAAAGAGATAGACACATGGGCTTACAGACAGCCATGCCCCAAATGAAGGGGCTAAACACACGAGACAGGTTACGTAGTGTAATATTGAGACCTGTTGGGTGCCTGTGTATTGCAGCGAGTCTCCATTGAAAGGGCTCAATAGAAATCCTCTCCGACAAGCCTGTCGCACATCCATTGCAGTGCATGCTAACTAGAAGGCATAGCCATTAAAATCTACTCAAGGTTACAAGGTGTACGGATATATTTCTGATAGTACACGACTGTAGATATGAGATTAAGCACATCCTTCAGTCGGCTTAATCTAAATGTTTAGGCTCCAGACTCTCCCAACACAGACTTTGATGGAAATAAGAAACTCAATAGTGCAGTTAATAACGGCTTGATCCACACATCTTCAACTCCTAGCTCTTGCTCGGTTGTTTTTGTTGTTCTTCCACACCTTAAAACCAGTCACTTTGACCGTCTGAAACCCGCCCCCCCACTACTGCATGCACACCCTGCAACAGATCTGAACAAGAAAGTCTTACAGTACAGTCGTAGCCACGTTATGAGATACAACAGTCAGGACTGCAGCCCAAATTTTTTGACACCAAGAGGCGGTGCGGGTGCATTGGGATTCATAATCATTGTTCCTTGCCGTCGTCTTCCCCACCTGTTGCTGCGGCTGGAGGCGGGGCAATGTTTGCCGCTGGGCTGGCACCGCCCGCTTATTTGCTCCAGGAGGCTGGCCAGGCGGGAACAGCCGCTCTGCCCATGTTGGTAGCAGCACAGGGACTCCACACAGCTGAGGGTCTGCGTCTGGGGGGCTGATAGAGACTGGAGGGAGGAGATGGAGAGGCAGAGCAAAGAGCAGGAGAAAGAAAGGGTGATGGGAACGGTTGGGGGGGGGGGGGGGAAGCAAAGGGTAGGAAAGACGGAGAAGTGGGTGGAGAAAGAGGAGGAAAAAAGAAGGAATTAATAACACTTAACAGGTTTACTGTCACATTCTGAGAGGATAATGGATGGCTGGAGGATGACTTATTGCATGCTGTCACAGGAAGGATGATGTGCAGGGAAAACATTAGAAACATGCTACACAAGGGGCTGAAATGCTGCAAATAAATATATAAACCATAAAACCTGTGAACAACTAAATCTTTGAGAAAACACACACAAAAAAATTTTGTATTTTAGGGTGGACTAAATCTTTCCTTAACTTTGTTTGGAAACTTGAGACTATGATCAGGATTACATCTATTTAAAATGCCAACCTTTAACGGGTCCAGCTTTATACAACGTTTTGACTTAAATACTGAAAGCACCATCATATATGAATGAATATGCATGATCAGAAACGAAGGTAATGTGAAAAGCAGTGCAAAACTACAAATTGTCTGTATTAATACAGAAGTTGACAATCACTGGAAAGAAACCTCTTATTGTCGAAATGAAAAGACTGAAAATATATTTAAATGACGAATCAGACTTTCCAGTGAGCCAGAGATGCATTGGTAGACAAAGCAGAATGAAGTTGCTGCTGAGAGACCTGCAGGGTCAGGTGGCTCAGTTAATCCGAGTCAGCACCGGAGAGAGAGAAACGGTGTGCGGTGGAGAAGAGGGAAGGTGAAGAGCAGAGAGACAGAGTGTGAGCTTACACTCATCCTGTGTGCTCCTTTTAAGACACAATAGAAGGTTGTAGAACTCAGCATAAAGAGGCAATGTAACTCTAGATCAACCTCAGACTCACTTCAGTGACCCACCTGGTTTTTATAAGACGATGAATAAGCTTCATTTGTACTTTTTGCTGTTATCAATTACAGGCGCTATTTGTGGAGATGTTTCTTAAGATAAAGCAACTTTTCGACTATCTAAAGTTATAAAGCCTCCTGTTTCTTTCAGCATATGGAGAGCCAAGCTTACCCTAAAGTGCTTGCAAGTCCTGTTCTCTTCTGTGATATAGCCTAATTTATTCCTATTGCGCAACTTATATATTCCACAGTGCTTCTGATTGTGACGTTGCTGCATCTCTCTGCAGCAGAAATTGGAGACTCTGTTGGCATAACACCAAACTTCTGCTTCTTGGCTGGCAAACAGGAAAACAGACAGGACAATGTGATTTATTCTGGCAAGGTCAGGTGTCGCTGGATAATAAATGTGTTTTTTTTCTCTTGTCCTTTATCAGAATTTGTCTCCTTTTTGGGGAAAAAAAGGCAAACAGATGTGTTCATGTAACTGTAACACAGCAGTCACCACTTAAAGAAAAGAGCAAAGAGAACAGTTATAGGCTGTAATTATTCAAAACACAAATAATATAAAACAGCTACAGCAGCAAAGCCACAGCTGAAGTCGTCATTGGCAATGCATCCTACACTTGTGTTAACCTATGCCTGTATGAGCATGTGAGTGATAACCACGGCGAGCTTTTCATTCACTTTAAGATGACGGATTTAGCTCGTCACTTTACCAATCTCATCAATCTGCAGCGGTCAAGTCATCGCAGGACACAGTTGAGATAATGCAACTCTCATTGGCATTCATGTTACAATAAAACTTGCTGTCCGATGCTGTTTACGAGAGAGATGAACAAGAAAAAAACAGATTGTGTGCTGCAAGTCATTATTTTGTTGTCGAGAAGCAGCAGCAGTAATATGAAGCCCAGAGGCCAGACCTTAGTTTACAGCAGAGCACTGAATCATGAGGTTTTCCAAGTAAACAAAAGGCTGAATTGAAGGTTTTGTCGTAAAATGGCCCAGGCCTCAGTGACAGCTATATGGGTGACATCATCCCCTGCCTGATCTACTTTATTAGTCCGAGAGTTCAGTGTGAGTTCACGTGTGCCGTCCTTTCACTTAGCACAACCTTATGTTGGGTTAACACAACTAAGAGAGCAGAGTATCTTTGTCGGGACCTTTTTGGCAACTGTCTGCATGAGAAAAATGTAATAGTCTTGTGTTTATAGTTGATGTACGGCGCTCACAATGCACAATCTGTATGCAGAGCAAAAACAAAACACTGAACGTCACTTTAAACACAAACGGGTTGTATGAGATATGAAATACTTACAAGGAGACAATGGTATATCATTCAGGCTTCAATAGGGAGTATTATCATGGAGGGGTTAGATGACTGAACAAATATACAGCAAGGACAATGGAGTCAGCATGCCAACAGCATTCTCTCTCTCTAAACTCTGATCCCAGATCTGATCAACCACAGGTTATTCATGAAAGGGTATGTGTGGGAGAGGACGGGGCCATTCACACAGGAAGTAAGGCCAACAGACACATTCAGTACAGGAATAGTATTTTTTAAATATGAACTAAAAGGGTAGTGCAGGGGCAGCTGTGACATACAGCCGTGGGGTGAATGACTGAAAGTGCAGGTTGTTTTAACCAAATATAAGGACATAATGTGGTTGACTGCAGCGGGTTGGTTGGTCCTTCGGGTGAAGCCATGATGCTGTGGGCAGTGACAGTAGGAAGGGGGACAATGGGAGTGAAGTATGGTACTACCTAGGGGAGCAGGGGTCTGGGCTGTGGGGCAGCAGGGGGAGGATAAGCAGCTAGCAGGTGCCAATTGTCCTCCCCTGGGCTCCGCTGGGCTTTAACAGGGTCATATTCTGGGCCGACTGACCCCTCACCCTCTTCCATCTGAAGGACACAAGATGCTTACAGTGAGCCCCGCTGGCCCGGTCAAACAACTCATCAGTCAGCCGGGTAGACCGTTTTGGTAGGTCAGACATCGACACAGCAACATAACCGGTAAAGCCTGTTAACTGACCGATCGCACCGCAAACATATCCAGAGTCGACATTCTGCCTCAGACCAAATCTGGACTGAGTGGAGGTAACAGGACGAGATAACTTCTCGTTTGACTTTTGTTTTGTAAATCTATGGGCTCCATTCAAGACTCAATGACTGTAGATCACTGTGGATATGTTTTTCAGTGCTGCTTGATTACCAACCAGCAGATTAATTAGTCGGTTAGTAAGCAAGCAGTCAGTCAGTCAGCGAGTCGGTCCAGACTGCACTGTAGGGGGGCAGTGGATTAAATGTCTGACCCTCACTCTACAGTGCGCTCTTATACACGTATGCATACAGTATATAGAGATCAAATCAATGCTGGTCCCCTTTTTAAAGCCCTTCCCAAGTGACCTCACGGGCAATCCAACATAGCAACAGAGTTGAGAGCAAATCTTTGGCTTCAAAAGGCAAATATGACGCGCTGCTTCCTGCTGTTTGACACAGGACTGTGGTGGGCATCACAGGTGTTATTCCCCTGCTACAGATCTTAACCTTTTCCTAATTGGCACTGTGAGACGATCATCATTTACCGAAGAGGTCCTGCAGAAAGTTTGAGTCGGGGTTGATGAGGTCACTGGAGGAGGGCTTTAATTTCTCATAAAAGCAGAGACGACTGAACACAGAAAGAAGCTGCAGGCAGAGGAACAGTGTCTCGAGGGAAATGCATGCTTCTAGTGCTGATAAGAGCCATCTATTAGTTACCAACTCAATTAACCTGCTGCTGAATCTATCAGAAGTACAGAGTAGGCAAATAATAAAAAAACCCAAGAGAGCCCTCTGGGTTCCTTTGCGATTACCTCCCTCTAATCTAATTAACAAAAAAAAGAAAAGAGACTGATAGATAGACTGAAACTATTCCAACAGAACTGAATAAATTGCATTACGCTTTGATTTTGAACCCGGTAAGAGCATCTTGTGTAGTTCTACCAATTCAAACAATTCACTCAAACTGAGGAAATGGGATCTCTTTTGCATAATGTGCTTCCCTCTTACAGTCAGTCAATCTACAGTTTGTTTCTGCTCATTGAGTTTGTGGGTATGGGACCTGCATTGTCTGTATTGTTTGTGACAGCCAGTTGCTTTTAGATACATCTCACTAAAACTACTGCAAGCAATCCTACCTTTATCAAGGTAAAAAAAACAAACATTTTTTTGTTGAAACTTCTACCCTTGATTGATTTGACTGTTATTGACATACAGTTCAACAGCACCAACATATACAGCTCTCTTAAAATGTTTATAAATATTAAGTATTAAAACCTTAGTGAGGGTAGGATTTACTGGAGGGTTGTTATCATTTTAAATGCTACAGAACCATCTGACATATAGCTGTTGCATAAAAGATATGCAAGCTGCAATCAAAAGCTTAGAAAAGAAATGAACCATACTAGGGCTGCAAATAACAGTTATTTTTCATTATCAATTAATTTGGAGATTATTTTCTAACATCCAAGAGCCAAGTGTGATTAATTAATGAACTATTAATTATATTATTAATGTGATTATTGTGTTAAAAATCTTAGTTTTATCTAAGTAGCAGTGTAAAACACATATTCAATTTACTTTCATACATGACAAAGAAAAGCATCAAATGCTCATGAATAAGAGAACATTTGGCTTTAATATTTTATATTATTAACCCTATATCTTTTACATGATCTTAGAAACTTAAACAGAATGAAGACGTTTAAGAAGTGTTGTAGTCTAGTCTGTTCACCGATGAGAGCTCACACTATTGTTCGCCTTTTCCTTGCAGGCTGTTTTATAGCGATATCTGCACAAGATCGTCAAGTCATCATTCGAGAACAGCTGTGATAATAACCCAAGAGTCTGTCATGCTTCCGACACATCATGATGCTGTGCAAGGCAGCGTGGACCAGTCCGTCATGCCACGGTGCTGTGGGTCTACTGAAACCATGCAGGTGGACTGAACTCTGCGTTGAAGAGGGTGCCTCTAATGGTGACACCCCAGTTTGAGGGCGTTTGACACCACGTCAAGAGGACGGACCATGCTCCAGATTAAAAAAGGGATGTTGTGATGGGCTGCACCATGCGTCACTTTAATAATGAGTGCGGCATGCCAGACTGAGGTTGTATGGCGACACCACGAGCCAGTGGTCGGGAGGCGGGTCTGACCGGGAGCTCCGATTTTGGGACTAATGCAGATGCAGGATCTCACAGTCAGCCATATTGTCATTCAGGGACAATTTAGGATCCTGAGTCGTTCTATTACAGTATAAAGAGCTATGAGATAAAGGCAGTTTGGCCATTCATTCCTTCACTCATTTGTCCATGCAGTGGGGGAGTAATGACAGTCACATGCTTCAACAGGCGGGAGTGGTGGACGTCTCAGATCACATTCTCTATGTCAGCCTCTCACTGAAATGCAACGCATGCAGCGGGTGAAATGCCTGATATTACATACTTTTGCATCAGCTACTAAAGCCCACAAAGCCCCAATATACGTTTAGTGCCCCGCCCCCATCCCAATCCCGGAGAATGCTGATTGGCTTGTCGAAGGGCATGCAGTCACAGATATACCAGTAGCACGACTGTTCCAACATTAACAGCACACATCTTTGCAGTCAGTGTACTGCCAGTGCTAGAAACAGGTCTCAGTGGGACTAAATCAAGTCCAGACCTGGGAGAACATTTCGGGATTGTTTGAATGGCCGTAAACAGGAGCACTTGTGTCCTAAAGCAATATCTATTTTAAGATGCTGTCCATGTTATGTTGTAGATAATCTTTAAAACATCTGGTTTTGTAGGGCTTAACCTCTGCATTGATAACCTACAAGTAACCGTTTCAAATAGACTTCTGAATACTATATATGATAACACTGCTACTATTTCTGACCATACATAGTTAAGTCTGACATATGTGTAAAAAGAGAATACAAATTCATTTTTAAGGGAAATCTTGTGAAGTCGATCTAACTAAGTTACGTATATTGCAAAAAACAAAAGAAGAACTGTCTATGTAGTGGTTTCTAAAAGTGTTAAAATATTTGAAATACTTATTTACAAACTAACGGAAGTGAAATTAAATTTAGAAGGAGCAGCATTCACGCAGGAAAACTGGGCAAACCAGTAATGCTGGGTATCTATTCACAAACGTATACAGATGCATCCCAAAACTACTAATGTAGCGATATTGCTTTTGAATTACGCACTCCTGGGATACTTTGTTTTATTTGAATTGATTGCAGCAAGTTATTTTAAGCCCAGGTCTGAATCGGTCTCATCTCCTCTACCTAATTTTGCCCAGCTGGCTCTTGGCTCTGGATAGAGGCTGCAGAGCGATGAAGTCATCACCTATCGCCACACGGTTGGAATACATCTACACCAGGAGAATACACAGAGAGGATAGGAGGACGAACACACACACACACACACACACAGTTTAGAACTCAAGCTCGCATACACACACACACACAGGTTAGAACTCAAGCTCGCATCCACACATTTCAACACACAATACTTTACCAACTATCAGAATCACACACACGCATACACACAGAGACAAAATGGGACAAAGGTTAGAGCAGAAACAACAAACACCACATAGGATTGGAAAAGGCTGCTCGGTTTGTGCTGAGAAACAAAAGGAGAGCTTTGAAAGGAGGAAGGAATGAGCTAAAACATAACCTCCAGCTGGACTAATCAATACGATAACAGCGTGGGTCTGCTGAGAGCTGACCGTGCACACTGTGGGATTTTTGTGTGTGTGTGTGTGTGTATCGATCAGAAAGAAGTCACGCTGAGTGTTTGTGTGCGCAACTCAACACCCTGCTGCTGCGGTAAAGAAGAAGTGGGTAACTCATGACCACAGAGGCTGAGGAAATAGACATTTTTTTTACAATGTAAAACAATGTCTTTATTTTCTATTTACATTTTCTCTCCGTCTAGAATTTGTTTAGCCTGCCGTGTTGCCATTTCATTACTTTTAATAAGTTGTACTTCTGAGACTGTACGTAGACCTTATAGAAAAAGATAAAAATATATAGAAATTGTTTTTTTTTTTTTATCATTCTTCACCTAAAACAATTGGTATGATTATCTTATGATCGTGGTAATGAACTAACTAGTGTCCAACTGGTCTCATTGATTCAAATAAATACTTTTTGATTCCACTGCATGCAATTTGAAATCGTGCCTGTATTTTGTACCAGTATAATCCACTTCAGAGGAATTGCAGGATTTCTTTACAAAGGTTCCCTGTAACCACTTCCTGCCCCTCCTCCCCATGTTACCTGACTCGTCTGTGTGCTGGTGGGCTGCAGATGTCGATAGAAGACCTTCTTCACCACATCAGGAAAGAGGCAAGTTATGATGATGATGATGATTGCAAACCAGGCTGAACCGCTGGACAGCAGCTGTACGAATACAAAGTACATGTCCTGGGTGTGGAGGAACGGCCTGGAGGGAGTGGAAGGGACACAATGGTTACATACTGCAGGAGGAAGCAGAGACTTTTCTTTTTTTATGCTTCTCTTTAGTAGTGGTAAGCATCAATAAACCAGCAGCCTGGCTCCCCTCAATTTCACCTGTTCTCTGTATATTCAGGTTTCACTGGCAGTTGGAGTCTTGCTCTTAGTTTCGTCAGTATATCCTTGGATATAAAAAAATATGTGTGTATTCTCTTTTAAGTCAGAGCATTTGAAGTCATGTGGAACCCCATGCAGACAAAGTATGAGCTCAGAGGTACTTAGAGGGTAGATTTATGTCCCATTATGTACTCTTCTATCCACTTACTTTCATTTTCCATCATTAACTATTGGTATAGTCATTTATTACTAACAGGAAAGAAAATGGATCAATGTAAATGCATTGATTTAACATTCATTTCACTTGTGTTTCTTTAGCGAAACAGCCATCGCTTTTAGCCACTGCAATTTATTCTGCATATGTATTCTCCCAATGTACTGAAGGGGTTAATTAGGAGGTGTTACGATAGGCCTACGTGGTAGATTGTGCAGCGAGACCATGTTACACCGAGGCAAAGTATTTTCATTCAGCGTGAAAGCAGAGTCAGTGTAGAAAATAAAACACACGATCTTCTTGTAAGAACCTCTTCTTACCAGATGATGCCTCCGTAGAAGAGAGAGAAGATGAAGTAGAAGGCGATCGAACCCCACGTCACAAAATGGTTCATCCACGTCCAGAAATGAGTCTCTAAAGCGAGCTGTTATTACATACAAACACACATGAGAGGGAGAGGAAGAGAAAGCTAGGTGTAAAACACTGAGACTGGGGGGGTAAAAGCATCAATAAACCACAGCGATCTGCCAGCCTGTGACAAATAATGTTCTGTTAATGGCCACATCATAGATGTACTTTACAATATGCACCATTTCATATTTGGGACTGTGGCAATTCAAGTGTGTCCCTGTGGAACCACACATGCTATAAAGCTCCCAGCTAACAAAAATATATCGCTGACATCATAGATATGGAAAAACTGGTTTGCAAACAACAGTTTTAAGCTCATTATTCAATTGCCTTTTATACTTAATATGGTGGACTGTCTTCAGCGTGCTGAACATGCTTGACTTTGTATTTAACCAGCCATTCACTTTTCTTTGGCCGATTTAGATTTTTGCTGTTTTGTCCTAAGCCGATAGCGTACATTCAGTTTTCTAATATTATTACCCTGTAAAATAGCACATTTACAGCTGAATATAACAGGAAGTATGTTACTGTAGCAACGTTATGTTTGAAAGAAAATAAAGCTCGAGTCTACAAGTCACGAGAAATAGTCAAAAATGTCATTTCTGTCTTAAACTGCTTGCTAATACCATTCATAGCAATGTTGTGAGAGCAATAGATTGTGTGCGATTTACCTTCAATGTAACTGTGATGACCATGACAGTAAACACCAGTGTTCCAAATGTCCAGTTCCCAAACATCTATAAAACATACATAAATCTATTAATAAAACAGTCACCAGTATTAAACTATGACAGTCAAACTAATAGTGGCTATATTTACATGCATGGACGCAGTTACCAGCAATGTAACAATATGCTTAAGATCATTGGTCCTCCTGTTTATATGCAACTTTGATACCTCGCATATCTTCTTCCGGTTGTCAAGAATGAACTAATAAACATAATTACACATCACTTCCTCCTCTTTAAACTCAGTTGCTGTACACGATATTTACTGATCATGTTGCTGGGATATTATAAATTGTTCAAGTCAAAATATAAATCTGGATAAAAGTTGGGAGTCAGGGCGACTCCCAACTTTGTTGCGCTTCAGTTATGGAATTGAGAGAAAATACCCACAAGGCTTTGGCCTCAGTTAACAAGTTGATGAGCATTTGGATGCGTACAACGAGGCCCTGGCCTCCGACTGTGAGAAGCACCAGAACTGTGGGGGGGGGGGGGGGGGGGG